GGGGGACGGGGGGCGGGGGGGTGTCCCAAACACAGCACTGACCACAACGGTGTCACCTCCTACGGTTACAGGCCGTATGTCAAGGACAGAACTCAAAGACTTAGATCTTAAAGACTCGTTGTATAGACTGGAGTTACTGAGCTCAAAGACTGGATGTAGACTGGCCAGACTATATATATATATACACACACACACACACTGTATGATCATTTAGTTATATATGATGAACTGAAACAAGACACTTCTTAAAAATGACCTGTGTAAAACTGTTCTGTCAGGTCAGGGACCACTGGGCCATATCACTAAACAAGCAGTCTGACTGTCTGTAGACCTCTCTCTGTCTCTCTCTCTCACACACACACACAGATACACAAACTCCTCCTAACACCCCATACAGAAAGACCAGGGACCACTGATCTGGTGATCTTCTTAGCAGAGAGCCAAGTGTTCTGGCCCAGAGTCAGGAAGAGCAGAAGCAGAAACTGTGGTCAAATCTGTGATGAACTGCTGATTCTGAGTGGACTTTTCATTTACAGGAGTTGATCAGGTCTTCGTCAACTCTGGTCAATGACACGTCCACAAAATAGGCATCGACGTTTCCTCTGTTTTAAGTTTTCAACTTTTCTCTGAACATTTACTCTCAACACTAATCAACTCTTAGCGGTTCTTCTTCTTCTGAAGCCACAAAGAAAACCAGCGTCAATCACACATATGGAAAAGCATCTTAACGAAAGAAATAAAAAAAAAACGTAACAATAAGCTAACCTGGACCACGATGACATTTAGACATCGAAGCACCTCAAAGTCAGAAAAACTCGAGTGTAAATTAAGTCGTGCCATAAAATGGTACACGGGGGGAAAGGATTGACCCAACGTTTTGCGACCTCGAGGATTTGTTTTTGTTACTGACCTCCGGTAGAAAAAGTAAAACCCCTCCTCTGTGGGTCATAAGTGTTTGTACATCTGTGTGTATGTGTGTGAGTGTGAGTACAGTGTGTTCTCAAATATATAAGGAACAGCCTTGAACAGGTCAGCTCAATCTTATCAAGTGAAAGCTACACTGTATGGTTTCAGTATGTTCCTATCGCTGAGGGGGGGGGGGGGGGGGGCGGCTTGGACCCCGCGGGGGGG